TGATCAGGAACCCCAGCCCCCTCAGGCTGATTTAGGACTCACCTTGCCCTCTGCTGAAGACGAGAGATGCATCTCATTCTGCACAGCCTTTGAGAGACCAGACCCATGTTCTCCAGACAGCAGCTCATTGAAAATGAAGTGATCCAAGGAGGCTGTGCCAAGCATATGGTGCCTCCTTCATCCCTTCTGGCATCAGTGCCCCCAGGCAGAGGAAAGGAGGTTGGTACCCTGCTCTGGTGGTCTGCAGCCTGCTCAGCTCTGCCTGAAAAGGAGCACAGTGCCCACAGGTTGGGGAGTGAGACATTCAGAAAGACCAGGAAGGTTCTTTTCTGCTTTTCTTCTCAGGGTGGCATCCAGGCTGCCTGGCCACACAGTGGCATTGAGAAGTAGGAAGGAAGGTGTTGGCAGGCAGGGGGCTCTCAGATGGCGGTCTTGCCAGGAGCCATTGTGCTCTCTCCCACACCCCTGCTGCTTCTCTGAGCTGCCAGCCAGCTCCCTGCCTGCTCTCTATTTATGTCAACCCTCACCCTACTCTCCAAGAGAGATGCTGCCCAGGGCCTGATGCATATTCACATTAAGAGAACACCATAGCAACCCAAAGGCAGTAGAAATATTTCCAGGCAGGTGCTCAGAGCAACATCCCTCTGGGGTGTGTGTGAGCCATGGTGGCGGAACCTCAGAGCCCAGGCAGGGCCCATGAGTTCCGTCCTGTGGGGCACCCTACTTTCATAAAACTGAGTACACTGACCAAGCCAGAACCAATACTGTGGGTGGATTTGGACTCATTCAGTCCTGAATAAGGGTGGGATGGACAATGAAGATGTGTATCTTTAGAAGACATGGACTGTTCCTGGGGTCCACAACCAGGAGGGTGCTGTCTTAGTCTGTTTCTTCTGCTATAACAGGATATTACAGACAGGCCAACTTATAAAATAAAAAAATATTTTCCATAGTTCTGGAGGATGAGAAGTCCAGGATCAGAGTGCCAGCACCTGGTGTGGCTATCTTGCAATATAGTCATGCACTATAGCACGGCAGAGAAATAGCAAGCATGGCAGCTCAGGCCACCCCTACCCTTCTTACAGAGCCACTAACCTACCCCAGGAGCCTCACACATGTGGCCTCATTCAACCCAGGTCACCCCCAAAGCCCACACCTCCAGATACCACACACATCAATTTGGGGTTAGGTTTCTCCCATGTGAACTTTTGGAGAGGACATTCAAACCATGATGAGTGGCAACACTCAGGTGCAAGCGTGGAAACGTGCTTTGGATTTCTAAGGAGGATGCTGGGACACCAGGTGGTATCCGCTCAGGAAGTGGCTTTCCAGTTTGGGATAGCTGACATTGCTTGTTGAATACACAGGAGCCCAGAGTCATGGGGCTCTGATCTCACTGTGTCACCGAGAGTGTGGGAGCTGAGATCGTGAGCTCTGAAGTCAGGCTGCTTTGGGCTTGGTCCCCACTGCTGTGACTTCTCCTGTGGCCCTGAGTGAGACGGAGGATAATGAGCACCTTCCACAGGGTCAATAGGACATGGACCCTAGGATGCAGTAGAGACCTTGTCCCTTACTAGTGGTCTGGTTTTGGACATAGTCACTCTGCTGTCTATGCTTGGTTTCCTTTTAAAAATAGAGGAAAGACTAAGACCTGCATTATGAAGCAGTTGTGAGGATTAAACAACATAATATGGGGAGGGGGCTTAGAACCCTGCCAAGTCTATCATCTGTGTTTGATAAATGTTAATAATGATGAACAACTTGAAGGGTGTGTGAGGGTTAAACAATATGTGTGTAATACAAGTGTGTGTGGCAGCACAAGTGAGCTTCCAGTAGGGATTTGTATTAATAGTAGTAGTATAGTTGTATGGCTGGGCTTTCCATGGCTTCAACTCTCCACCTGTAAAATGGGAAGAGTATCTTCTACACCTCTTTGTCTCTCAAACCTAAATGTATGCATGCCTTTGGGGAGAAGAATCCCAGCAATACAAGACATTAGCACAAATATACAACATGCCCTCCACAAAATCAACAGTGATTCTCCCAAACCTTTTAAAATCAAATACAATCTTTACTCTGCTTCCATCAGAGCAGCCAGACAGAAGGAGAGTGAGACAGTTCTCATCCTGTTAAGAGTACACTGCCATCTGGAAAGAATGAAACCTTAATTAAGAACAAAGAAGAATGGGTAGAGAGTGAGCCTGGGGTCCCCGTCAAGGAGCCGGCAGGGCTCCTGTGCTTTGGAAATGGCAGGACACAGAGCTCTCTTTCTTCTCAGATGGCAGTGGGCTCCTGGGGAGATGTGGCCTGCCAGCCATCTGGTGGTGCCCAGAATTTCCTGTGGTAACTTTGCTGAACAGCATTCGACCCTCCTGGGTGTTCCAGTGTCTGGATGGGGAGTCTGTAGCAGTGGTTTCTAAGTGTGGCTCCTGGAGCAGCGGTACCAGCATCATTTGGGGCTGGGTACACAGCTGTACAGAGAAGACTCAGCTGAGGCAGTTCTAGCATCCTGTCTGCAAAACCCCAAGGAGACCCTGATTCATGCTTGCGTTTGAGAAATTTTGGTCAATAACAAAAGATGGTGGTGGGCATTTTCTGAATTGTATGATGAGGCAACGTCGAGGTCTGCCTTCTTGCATTTCAGTGTGCAAACAGCTTGTGTTTGACGCTAGACAAACTTGAGTTTAAATCAAAACTTAACTTCTGGTTGCGTGATTTAGGGAAGCTAGGAGGCTCCATTGTGCTATCCCCTGAAAGGGACACCTACCCCAAGGGCCATTGTAGTGATGGAAGGAAATGTGAAATGTGAAATGCTTGGCCGACATTCTTGTTACCAAATAGGAAAAACGATGAAGAAGCCCTCCACCAACTTCACCTTTTCTTCCCCTTTCCCCAGAAATTGGCGTGGTGCCTTGTCCATAATAGGCAGTTGATATATAAATAAAATTAACCTGAAGCATCCTCAGTGTTTGCCATCTGCAGCTCATTCTGACGTGAATGTCCCTTGTCTTCCCCACCTACCCCTGCAGACACTGAGCACAGTGAGAAACTGGGACAGTTGTACAGAATGCACTTGAACAAAACAGAACAACTTCAAAGGCATCATGGTTTTCCTACACCATCAGATTTCCATACCCTAGTGCAGATTTTCCAAGAAGCATCCAACATGCCTTTAAAATTTTCTTCCAACCCAACTAGCCAGTCTGCACTAAGCCAAAAGCCAAACTATCCAACCAACAATCACACCCCCAACATGCAGTCATGTGCACACAAGCTCACATATGTGCACACAATCTCATATGTACACACACATACCCATGCACACACTTGTACACACACTGACACACAGAAGAAACCACCTGTTCTATTCCTGGTCCAGGGCAGATGGGTGGCTTTCCCTTGCTGTGGGTGATGGTCTGCCTAGGTTGGTTAGAGCTGCCTGTGGCTTTCATAGGAACTGTTTGTCTTCTTGCTTGAGGAGAGAGGAAACCTCTTGAGGATATTTGCTGCTCTAGGGGGAGCACTTAGATCCATCACCCAGCTCTGAACAGAAGCTAAGGCTCTGTCTACAAGAAGAGCCAAGGGCATTTTTATTCCTGCTTTCAGCTTCACACTGGGTACAAAATACCAAGTGGACAAAAGACTATCAATACACGCCAAGCTGTGAGGAGAGTGCAGCTCACTTAACTGCCTTGACATCGATTTTCACCTGCTTTTGTTGATGAAGCTGCATCCATAAGTAGTGATAAATCCATTAGACAAACATGGCACTCCATTATTCACAGCATCTACCTTGGCCTGGCATGGTGTGGGAGGCTTGCCTGGAGGCTGGGGATCCTGGCCAAGCTGGGGGTGAGACTGGTTGGTCACTGGAGGAAGAGGGACCTTGGATGCCTTGTGACCCACATTGCTTTACTGGGTTTTTCCAGGCAATACCATTCTGAGCTCTGATTCCCATCTGTTCCAGAAGGATTAGAAATGATGGCTGGAGAGACAGCAGAAGAGTGTAGATTTGTTTTGCATTTCCATCCTCAAAGCCACTACACACACACACACACACACACACCATCTGTATACAGAAAGATAAATTCAGAGGTACAAAGTGACTTGCTTGGGTTCTCACAAAAGCAGCAGAACCAGAAGTAGAACCCAGGAGCTCAGTTTCTGATCCAGTGGAATTTGCACATTACAGGGCCTCTCTTCTGTTCTTGTACCATGAGAACAATATTGGTCTCTGGGCATCAATTGGAATAGGGCCCTTCTGAGAAGCCCGCTGACCTAGCAGGTATCAAAAGGCAGGATTTGGATCTCCTCTGTCCTGGCAGGGTGCATAGGCATGGGCATGGGGCATGGTGACATGTGGGCAGGAATCTCCAGAAGGTAGTGCTGGGTTCCCACAGCGAGAGGCACCTCAGGGTGGTGTCACATGGCATGGCTTGGAGGAGCCAGTGCCTCCAGGGCCGGCCTGGGGGAGTAGCTGCTCGGTGTCAGGCTGCTCAGGGGCTGACTCCATCCCACCTGGCCATAGATAGACCTGAGCTTATGAGTGTTAGGAGTCTGTATCCATAGCAGAACTAAAACTTGAATTCTGTTTTCTCCCACTGCCGCTATCCCCTAACCATTGTTCCCAAGGTTGGCAGAGGGAGCAGGGGGGTAGAAGGAAGGTAACTGCCAGCCTGGTCAGGTGATTTTATTTTCCCCACGTGGGGACCTGGTAAAAGGATCAGAAGGCTGAGCAGGCTGCTGCAATCTGCCATCAATCCTCAGAAGCAAGGGTAGGAACTAGACTTGTAGAGAGGAGGCACTGGAGGCTGGGAGAGCCAGGCTCACTGAGCAGGCCTTTGCTTCCTTCCCTCCTTTCACATCCAGACTGCTCGTATCCCATGCACAACACTGACTTGAGCCTTCAATATGGTGCTCTCTCCTCAGCTGGAGGGTTAGTTTTTGAGGGCAGAGCTGAGGCTGCTCCTGGCTTTATCTCCTCTCCAGGTGGAGCTTCTGCTTCAATGTCAGTGGCTGACTTCTCATCTTAGTGGCATTTGAACAGGCAGCCGGGACCTGTCTCTCAGGAGCTGCGAACAGGGACTCAGCACAGAGAAGAGGGCAGCAGCAGGTAGAACATTGTGGTCTGGTAGCAGTGCTAACTGTTCTCTCTAAGAGAGTTCCTGGTGGTGATGATGGGTGTCTGGCATGGTCCTGTAGCCCATGTGGAGGGCACTGAGTATGTGCTGCAGATTTGATGGCCCACCCGGCTCTGAGTCCACAAAGGGCCTTGAGAGGAGGTGACAGACACCTCAGAAACCAATGACCCTGACTGCAGGCTTTAAGGCCAGAGGGGCATTCCTATGCTCCCCCTCTCAGGTGCTTAGCAAGTAGGTTGAGGTTTACCTGGCCAGGTCCTAATTTTTGCACAGTAATTATGCCCTCCAAAGCTGGACTGCTAATTGCTTTTGCTATTTCTGGACTCTGCCCCTCCTGATATGTCCTGCTGTTGGAGACAGAAATAACCTGGCACTTGGCGGGTAATTATCACGGAGTGCTTCCAGAGTCAGCACACACTGAGCTGCAGCTGTGGATCCCTGACTCAGCATGTGATGCTTGGCCAGGATCATGGGGATGCCTGGCCCTGATGGGCAGCATCTCATGGCTTTGGAGCCTCGCCTCCTTCAGGGAGCATTCTCCTGCTTCCTCCTGCACCGAGTGTGTGTTGAAGCCCCCCTCTCTTTAGGTCCTCTTGACCTTGTTTGTATATCATTGTCTTGCAGGAAGCAGGGACTTGATGAAAGGAAGGAAGGAAGGAAGGAAGGAAGACCTTCAATTTCTAGGTCTAGATTCCTCCAATTTAATAACTAGGTTCCAGTTGTAGCTTTAAAAATTTTTTTTTCACTAGTTTTCATGGTCTTTGGAGAGAAAAAAGAAGTCCAAATATGGTTTAGGTGTAGATGTTCCCTAAAGCCTTATGTGCTCGTAGGTGGGGCTTTGGAAAGTGATGGGTGGGATTGTGGGAGCTGATGCTTATCAGTGGATTAATCCACTGGTGAGTCTGTAACTGACTTATTGTTAGGGGATGGGATCTGGTTGGAAGAGAGGGGTCACTGGGGTGTGGCCCAGAAGAATTTATCTGTTCCCCACTCTTCCTTCACTCTCTCTGTTTCTCACCACCATGCCATGACCTGCTTCCCTTATGCCATGCCGCTCTGCCTTGGAGCCAGCTGACTATGGTCTGAAACCTCTACAAGCTGTGAGCCAAGGTAAACCTTTCCTCCTTTCTCCTGTGGTTGTGTCTCAGTGGTGAAGAAAGTGACTAAGACACCAAATGGTTGGTTTTATATTTGCAAACACCCCTTTGGCTTAGGAATAAATGAATAGTTGCAGTAGTGGCCAGAGAGAAGCACTAGGCCCTGGTGGGTTTCTGGGAGAGGGTGGGGCCCAGCTGTTGCATGGACAGACACCACTCCAGCATCACAGGAAGACTGAGTAGGAAAAACTGGGGGCTTCAGGTCTTCAGGGCCATTAGGGGCAGTGGCCTGGGAAGGTACAGACCTTCTCCTTCCTCACAGAGCTCATTAATTCCTTGCCTGCTTAGAGCCTCAGCTCTGCACGTGAGAGCTATCAAGAGGAGAAAAGTTTCACTGTTGCCCAGGTTGGGGTCTTCAGCAATGGGGAAGCAGGTCTCACCTCTCTGAGCCTGAGGCCCCCCCCCCCCCAGCCTCACTGTTTGTTTCTCTCTCCAATTCACCAGAGCTGGGGATTTGGGCTCAACTTCTTAGTTCAACAAGACAAGGCTATGAGTAAATCATTGTCCTCATTCTCAAAGGCCCTGGGCCTTTAGATCAATAGCATCTCCGATTTATACCAGTCCCTAGAGTGCTCTGTGGACTCACTTCTTTAACCACTTTCTGGGCACATGCCACCTGCTGCCTGGGCTTCAGAGCCCTCTTTTTCCATCTAAACTCCCATGCCCCAATAGTTTTTTTTTCTTGGTACCAGGGATCAAACTCAGGACCTTGCGCTTGCAAGGCCGGTGCAGTGCCACTGAGCTAAATTCCTGGCCCTCCCCAATAGTTTAGAATACCTTAAAAGCAGTGACCTTACTGTGTAATCTGGGGGCATCTATCACCTAGAACAATGTTGGATGTGACCCCTGAACACCAGGGGCGGGACTCCAGGAGATGTACTTTCATTTATCCACAGTCAGGTACTGAGCAAGGACTGTGCATGACCCTGGCACTGCCCAGAGGTGAGGATGAGGTCTGAAGGACACCTTCCTGTCTGCAGGAACTCATAGTAGAGAGGGCAGCAGTGTCAATGAGAGACAAAGATATAAGTCCAGGGAACAAAGAGAAAGAGCTGCCACTCAGCTCAGACTGGGCAAGGGTGCATCAGTGGGTAGGTGACAGAATGGGTTTGGTCAGGTTGAGAGGGAGAGGTGCTCCAGGGAACTTAGGGAGGCTGTAGCTCCACCTTCTGTTCTCTTTTGGCAGATGAGAAAACCAAGACCAGAGAGAAGCAGGGAGTATGTAAAGCCACATCTGCCTATTGACAGAACTGAGTTAAAATCTTGGGTTTGTACTCTCAAGCCCAGGGACAATCTTTATCACCTGTGCTGATGCTGCAAGCCTGGGAAAGGCAGAGGCAGAATGCATGTGGCCTTGGGCTTCTGCTGACACCGAGCCACAGTAAGAACACAGCAGGTCTGGGGTCCTGGGTGTCTGCAAGGAGGAATTTGCAATGGGGTTTCAGGGTGCAAGTGAAACTGTCTTGGTTGTAGCGTGTAAGTCAAGGAAGCTCAGTGCTTCTTCTCCTCTGTTTTCTGCAACATTGACATAGGCTGAGCTCAGATGCAAACGATGAAACCAAAGCCTACCTATGGGCCTGTGCAGGGATTATCCTTGCCTTCCAGAAATCCCCCAAGGACTCAATTTTTATTCTGGTTCTTTTCCCAAGTTTGTTCTTATGCACCTTGAAGCAAAAGTCTGAGGCCAGGTAGGAACAGAGAGCCTAAAAAGATTATCTCCAGGACCTGTCCTTGTTCATAAATGCTATACTTTTCATTCTCCACCCCCTCCTCAGCTTCCCAGCCTCCATCCAAATCTGAGATCCCGGTAGAAAGATGCCAGCTGGCCAGTCCCCGTCACTGACTGAAACAACCAGGGAAAACCAGTGTGCTGTATAGTTCAAGTCTCCTTTGGAACTGGTAGGGTCGCTTTCCTTTTTGGAACTGGCAGGTACTGCCTACCAGACCTACACAAATCATTCCAGAGACCATAGGGATCAGAGATATGAGAGTGAGGGATGTTTTTCTTCCTAGGAAGACAGTAATTGTGAATTTGTCACCAACAGTGATGTAGTGGTAAGCAATTAATTCTGGGGGACTCCCTGCCTGTTGACATGTGTGGCTCCTGCCCTGAGCAGCTCCCCTTGCTTAGAAGGCTCCTATCCTCCTTTTCAGTAGACAAACTAATTTGTTTTAGACTCAGTTCCCTAGGGACAAAGGTGACTCCTTCAGCCAAGGGTCTAATTTTGGTGAATTGTCTTGCAAGGTAAGGAGAAGAGAGACAGAGAAAATATTAGCAGTGGCTTACCCTTGTACAGAGCTTCCTACACCCAAGCATGATTCAGATGCATGCCCATACTCCAGGGAGGTATCATTACTGTTCCTACTTTGGAAGTGGGGATACCAAGGTACAGAGGGGCTACTCAGATGGCCCACGGTCACACAGCCCAAAGTGGCAGAGCAGCATTCAAATCCAGGCAGTGCTGCTCTAAGTGTGTTGTCCTTATCATGGTTCTGCACAGCTCTCCACCAGGTACCTGAGAGCAGATGGGAGTGTGCTGGAATTGGACAGACAGTCCAGGGCCGGGTCATCTTCATGATGTGTGCACCCTCAGGTAAGTTACTTCTTTTTCTCACAGGCCCACTTTCTTATCAGTGAAGCAGGGACAGTGGTACCCACTTCTGATTGTGGTCATAAATACTCATGACTGAACACATGCTGTCTCCACACTCCCCACTCCACTCTGCCCCTCCAGGACACCTGCCTACTTCTCATCCCATGGTATGGTAAAACATCACCTGCACCCCACCTGGTCTTTGCTGTATACTAAGTTGTTATTGAGAACTAAGCTGATTTCCAAGGCCAAAGTGCAATGGTACATACATAAGCACACCTAGGAGCTGAAGAGTGAAAAGGATTTGTTACTTGCAGCAAGTAAAGAGAGCAGCACATTGCTTTGGGAATCAAAGCAATACATTGGAGATTTTCCCTGACACAGGACACAAGGAGGAGGTACATATTCATAGCAGAAAGATTCCTAGTCACACATAGAGGTGGGCATATTCCTGAGCATGCTCAGAGATCATGCTGCCACATACACCAGAAATGGGGGGCAGGACCCCCCATGGAGAATTTAGCATTATAATGAGATTATAATGAGCAAAGTTTATCCTAGGTGACCTAGAAGACACTCAGTGATTTGGGTTGGTTGAAACTGATTCCTTGTGGCTTCTCCTGGAGTGCTTTGTTTGAAACAAATAACCAAAAATACATTGATGAGGTGATGCTAACAGTAATTTAAGGACAGTAGCCTCTTGCCTTGAAAGCATAGGTGCTTGTCCTGAAAAGCTCCTACCTAGCAGCCAATAAAATGGCAAATGCAGCACTGAGCACTTCGGTGATTTGGAGCCCAGACTGACCTTTACTCCTAGCAGTGGGAGAGAAGCTCACCCTGGCAGCACCAGCCCTGAGTGGGTGTGCTTTCTGCATGGTGCTTTAAGTTCTGAGCATTCAAGGGTTCTATTGGCCTTTCCACAAGGAATGCTCCAGGGCAGACTTGAAGAGGGACAGCCCTGCATCTGATGCCCAGGATCATAGAGAACAGATGACCGGAGTGAAGCTAGAAAAGGCTGCAAGTGTTGGGTTTGGGGAAGACTTACCTCCTTGATGATGATGTTCTGAAGCTCATTTTAAAGTAAATTATGAGCCTTTGTACATATAGCCCAGGGCTGAATGGTGAGAGACACAAAACAGGGAAGAGAGTGTGTGAAAGACTCAGCCCCTGCCCAGGATTGTGTCCCTCAGGACTCCTGAGTGTGGATCAGCTTTGGTCCTGGATGCACTACTGGCCAGGGTTATCTTTGACAAGTCACTTCATCTTGTTGGGCCTCAGCTTCTCCACTTACACACCTAAAATGCCAAGTCCTGAGGCTAGAATTTAGGCTTTCTCCTAGCTTTTACCTCCTGAGAGATTTATCTATAATCTCAGCTAAGGTTTACTGGCCAAGTAAGCACCCTGGAGCAGGAGAAAGAAGTAGAACATTTACACTTGAAAGGGTCAGAGCCTCTTCTAAGGTCTGAATTCTGCTTCTGGGAGGCTCGGAGTGTGGTCTGGCTTTCCCAGGCCTCCCATCAATTGCTAATGGAACAGAGCACATGTTGCTGCTGCAAGGCTGACCCTTGTCTCTTGCAGGGCCACTGAGGGATATGTTCGGGAGGCTGATGGAGCAGAGGTAGGCTGAGGGACATCTCCAAGGACACTCCACAATGAAGCTATGTGAACCTGCCATCCCCTGCCAGTCTCTCTGACATTTTCTGTCACTTGTGTTTGTCTTGGCAAAAACAGCTAGCCTTACTGAGGTTATTGGAGACTGCAGAGCCAGCAGTGAGCTGAGATTCTGGAAGAGAGCCAGTTTGGTTAAAAGCTGCCCCTGTGAGCCTTTGGGGACCTCTGGCTCTTTCTGACCTTGCATAACAGTGTTTAGGTGGTGTCAGAGGGCCTCTGTGCTGAGGAACAAGCATTGGGAGATTTCCATAGTATTTGAGGATAAGTTAGGAGGATAGAAGGGTCTGTCAGTGTGCTGTGCTTTTGTGGATTTGTACAATTTTCCATCATCTATCTACCTCTGTTTCCACCACAGCGAGAGGGGCCACAGCAAAATGGTTAAGAACTTTGACTCTTCATTCAAGCCAACTGAGTTTAAACCCCACCTTTTGTTGTCATGGGCTGAGCGATTTGCAGCCAGTTGCTAACTTCTTTGTGCCATGTTTTCCCCTATGGAGAAATGGGATAGAAGGAGAGCCTCCTCGGATCCTGGAAAGACTGGGGAGAGATGTGGTGTGCCACTAGGACACTCACAGACATGAGAGTGGTGTCCTGCCCACTTCTCATCTGGGCCTGGGGCTTGCCACCATTAACTACTACCAGTGAGCTACACACACTGGATTTTAAACACCGTCATTGATGCTCATTTTTCTGCCTATTTTAATTTTTCACCCATTTGTTATATTTCTGTTGATCGTGTTACTTTTGGCCTAGCTATATTTATTAAAATAGCTATATCAAACATCTGTCTATCTGCTTAGTAATCATCTATTTATTATCTATCATTGATCATCTATCTATTATTACCCATTTATCATCTGTCCATCCTCTGCCTATTTATCCATTCATCATCTGTTTGTCTGTCAATTGACATACATACTCATTTGTAGAGCATGCACATTTTAGGTAGAACCCTCCATCCTGCTCACGTGGAGATGAACCCTCATTTTCAAAGGGGCCTTTAGCAGTGATACGGTGTGAAGATGACCAGTCAGCAATGACCATGAAAACAGGTATTTGGAATAACCAGGCTTTTGAGTAAGGGGGATACAGCAAAGCTATAGAGCCAGGCCCCTGGGACCAAAATTAATTTCCCTCAGGGTAAGATGGGGTGGGAAGGGGCCTTCCTGTGCAGGTGAGAGAGAGCCCTAGTTTGATCTCACAATCTTGGAATTGTGATGGTGCATTGCAGCTGGAGCTCATCTAGACAGTGCCCTACCACCATGGTCAACACGAAAAACCCATGGTCCTTTCCTTGACAAGTGGCATTGCCTTTTGAGTGTCTCCACCTTGCCATAGTGCCTTTGGCTCTGTATTTGTTTTATCAAAGTACTTTTTGTTTCACACCTACTGTTTTCTTTCTCTTTCTAATCAAATCTTTTTTTCCTATTTTCTCAACCTGGCCTGAGATGTGGCACTACCTCCCTCACCATTCGTCTTCTCTCCAGCTTTGGCACACCTCCTCCAGGGCTTCCAGAGCACTGTGGGGTCTGCATGTAGCATTAAGTGTGCAGACTCCTCCTCTCCTTGGCTGCCCCTAGGTCCAGGTGCTGGCCTTCCCAGCAAGGCTTCCCTCAGGCAGGGCTTTGCTGCTCCAGTTACTATTTAGGGTGGGATCTGGTCTAGCTCTCTGCCACACTAATGATAACACAGACCTGGTCTCTCCACCTTGCTGTATCGGTGGGGGCAGTTGAAGGCAGAGGCTGGGAGACAGATCCTCCTTTTAGCAGCAAGTCACAAGAGCTGGGCCAGCAGTAGGCAGTGTGGCTTCTGAGTTGCACCAGCCCCAACACTCACCTTCTGCTTCACCTCTCTGTGCCTCAGTGACCTTATGTGTGACACACAAGCATAGCACTCAAAGTCTCTGGGGTACAGGACTTAAATGTCTGTCTGCAGAAGTAGGTAGTGCCTAGGTCAGCACCTGAAGGAGACTAATGTCCTAATGGAACCAGAGTGAGCACCCCCCCACCCCCCACAGATCATGCACAGACACACACAGACACACAGGTGCATGCACAGGTACACTCATGCACTGACACTCACAGATAGTCACAGATAAATTCACATACACTTACCATACTATATTGCTCATGATGCACATTCACATACATCTGCACAAACACACTAGACATACTGACACAAACACATGCACACACGCAGATGTGCATTCATTCTTATATATGTATTATCACTCATAGTGTAGGTACCATCACTCAGACACACAGATCAGAGACAAGAGTTTTATGTGCTTTTACGTGGACATGACATTTACTGACATATAAAGAGAAAGAGCGCAGGACAGGGAACATCTATCTGAGGGGCACAGAGGTTGACAAAGGAGATCTGGGCTGATGGCACAGGCAGTCAGGGCTGTCACCACGCAGGCTAATAAATCAGGTCAGGCTCTTGGCCATCCCACTCAGGATCCCACATGTGCACAGAGGTCTTGGTCCCGTGCTGATGTCAGGCATGAGTCAGATGGACATGCTGCATGCCTGTGCCTGTGTGTGCTGTGCACAACACATGCATGTACATGGGACTCACTGGAGCTGCTGCCCAGCCTCACATGCCTCTGCCCACTAGGTCCCAGAGGCTCCACTCACACTTGTGTCTGCAGAGTGCCTGTAGGGGGACAGCACTTGGGATCACATGTCAGTCCTGCCTCAGTGACCCCAGCCCATCCTCCTTATAATTATTGTTGTGCAGCTCTGGAGCCTAGGGTGCTGGGAATCTGAACAGAATAATTTTTTTTCTGAGAAGGGTTTGAGGAGCTTGTACTTATTTGAGAATTGCCCTGAGCCCTTGACTTGACAGAATTAGCAGCTGGATGATGGGTGCAGAGGTATTTGTATTTTTCCCTTTAATGTAGGTGGCCCAGAAAGATGTCAGGTTGCCTTTATGGGCCATGGCCTGATGACCCCTGCCACACCCCGTCTCTGGTCCCTGCCCCAACCTGTCACCATATGCACCTTAGGGCTGCCACTTGGAAGTGCTTTCAATGTCCAACGTGAGGCTGAGATTACCCTGCCCACCTCCCTTCAGAGGCGCACGCACCCTTGATTCAGATGCTGGCTTCTTGCTCCCCCAGGCAGGGTAGCCCTCTTTGCAAAGGAGGGCAGTGCCCAAGTGGCGTATTTGCCAGGTCTGCTCTGATGTTGTGAGGGTCTGAAGCAAGGATGGGCTTGCCTTGGCACTGCACCTAGATTTTACTTTGAGGGCATTTTGGAAAGAGTTCAGCATGTAGAGTCACATTGCCCTGAGCTCACTTTTGCCACTGTCACTCACCTGGCCATGGCATGTAGGTCCTCTGACCATGGAGTCCTCATCAGGCAAAGGTCACCTGTTTTAGGAATTGAGTGAAAGGTGCCTCTGAGGCCTGGCCTTGTGTTCAGTGTTGCATAGGACCCACATAGGTTTCCTGGTGTGTGGGGGAGGAAAGCCACTTAGCATACTGGGAGGAAGTGTCCAGAGGCAAAGCAGAGTGAATCTGCAGCCTCAGGGTATGGTGGCAAAGGGACCTGGACACCTGCACAGAACGAATTTGCAGAAAAGGAGGTGAGGAGCATGGGCTCTGGAGAGAAGGTCATGAGGTCAACGTTGCTTCAGGTGCTCCACAGTGAGGGTTGGACCCCTGGCTATGCACTTTATGCCAATCCCTCATTCCTTCCTCTGTGTATCCCCAAACCAACAACACTGTCACCCATATTTGCAGATGAGCCTCTGAGAGGTGGAGCTTGCAGTTGGAACCTGGGTTGTACAGCTGCAGTTGGAACCTGGGTCAGCTGACTCAAGGGCCTGCAGGGGCCCAGAGGGCTCTGGGAAAGGCCTGCTCTCTTGTCCCCTTGCCTTCTGTCCTGAACTAGCTACCTACCTTTCCTCCTTTGATAGAGGCCCACATTGGAGGCAGTAGAGAGCCAGGCTTCGTCTGATGGGGGTGGAGGGTGGGGGGAAAAGCCTCTTCTCTCCTCCTCCTCCACTTCCCCAACAGCAGGTGAGCACAGTGATGGATGAAGCTAGAGAAAAGGTAGATTGGTTTTGGGGCTGGATAGATAAAGTCTCTCATGCTTTCTGAAACTGTCAAACCCAGGAAACAATTATTGCCAAATGCTGTAGGGTTTTCCCTGACCAGTGGTTGTCTTGATTGTTGTTGGAGGGAGAGAAACAACCTGCCATTGCCCATTTGGGAATGCTGTGGCTCTGATTTAGGGTAATGGGTGGGGCTGCCATGGGAGTCCACCACCAGGAGGGAGTATCCTCACAGGTCAGCCTAGCCTCAAGGCCCTGCTTGACTATGTCCCCTCCTCTGCCTGGCTCCCAAGCTCCTGTATGAGGACTGCTCTCCCTATGTTACCCATTCTTCTCCAAAACTGCCTTTCTTGCTGTCAGCTTGGGGGAGGCCAGCTGTGTAGTGCTTTTGAGTGAGGACTTTGGAATTAGACATGGCTCAGATCTGAAATACTCCACTTGCTAGCAGTGTGGCCACTGGCAAGTTGGGTGCCTCTTTAGGCTCCAAGTTTTCAACAATAAAATGAGTCTTGCCAAGCATGGTGGTACACACTTATAATGCCAGCACTCTGGAAGGGTGAGGCAGGAAGATTGTAAATTCAAATTCAAACCCTGGCTGACCAACTTAGCCACTTAACAGATCTTGTCTCTAAATTAAAAATAAAAGGCTGGGGATGTGGTTCAGTGCGAAGGCCCTGAGTTCAATCTCTAGTACTACAACAAATAAATACATAAATAAAATGGATCTCAACACACATTTCACAAGGACCAAGGAAGGATTAAATGAGATGATGCATAAAAGACTTAGTTCATGTTTCAGCACATAATAATTGTGTTTTTAAAGATCCTATTTCACCTCTAGTGGTTTTTCCCCTTACTTAATTGGTTCCTTCCTTCCCTTTTTCCCAGTTTAGCTTGAGTCTCATTTGTCCTTGAAGCACATTAGTTAGTTAGCTTCACGTCACTATATTAAAATAACTTAGATAAAGAACTCACAAAGGGAAAGGTTCACCGAATTCACAGTTTGGGAGTTCCAGTCAAAATTCAATGGCCCATGGCTTTGGGACTCTAGTAAGGGGAGCTCGTCATGGTGGAAGCACATGGCAGGGCAAACCACTCACTTATAGACAGGAAAAAAAGACAGTGAAGAGGGGGCCAGGGTCCCACAGTCACCTTCAAGGCACTGTATTAATGTCTTTCCCATCACTGAGACAAAATAGTCAAGACTCATAACTTAAAGAGATAGGGTTTATTGCAGCTCATAGTCTTTATAAAATTCAGTTCATGGTTGGATGGCTCCAAGGTAGAAATGGCATAATACAAGGACATGGTTGAGGACAGCTACTTAGCATATGGAAGCCAGAAAGAAAGAAAGGAACTTGGAACAAGAACACACTCTTCCAGGTCACCCCACTGACTCACACCCTGAGAGCACATTTAGATACTGAGTTCATCAATGGGTAAATCCACTGATGAGTACAGTGCCCCATGATCCCATCACCTTCCACACACATGAAACTTTTGGGAGGCACTAGATCCAAACCATAATAGGCTTCCCACTGGGCCTCATATTTTAGTAATCCTATCACCTCCCAATAGTATCACATTGGAACTCAGTTAACCATTTGGGCCTATGGGGGACATTCAAGATCCAAATTGTA